CCTTCGTGTCCCCAGGGAGGGTTTCTCAGGGGAAATACGGGAGCAGAGAGCCTCCTCTCTTTTCTCTGAATGACGAGGGGCTTTGAACTGCTGGTCATGAGGTCAGGAATCCAACACTGACCTGACAGACCCACCCGGACTCCTTTACTTGAAGTCCACGGGCATACATTTAAAGTAAGACCCGCTGGCAAGACTTACTTGTCTTTCCCTAGCCACATTCAGTGAATATTAAATAAAAACTCTTGACCCAATCAACATTTCCCCCCAATAGATCATGACAGCACAGGTGTGAAATTATCAGAGATGAGTCCAACAAGGGCTGAGAATCACCCACACATTCTTCAAAGTGGGGAAAAGTACCTTTGCAAGCACGTTTATTTAAAGTTCACAGAAAATGGGTACTGTGAGAAAAAAAAACACCTTAATGGGTTTCAATTGTTTTTTGACCACGAAATTAAACTTACACTAACTTGCTTCAACATGTCTGAACACGATCTAGTTTGAAGCACTCAGAAGGCTAAGACACCTGTTTAAAAAGAGCCCTACCAGAGAAACATGAATGATGTTAACATGGAAGCAAGCACAAGTTTCAGATGGATGGTAGGACTTAGGTGGAAGAATGGTGAAACCACGGACGCTGACTTATACAAAGTGTATGGAGAAGATATCCCAGAGAAATCAGCAGTTTACAAATGGCTGGGTCAACGTTTTAGGAAGGAACGTGGCACTGAAAATTAAGCCCACAGTGGCAGACCGTCCCCATCAATTGCTGAGGAAACAGCTAAGCTTGTCTGTGACCTAACTGAAAAGGAAGGTGATTAACAGCAGAAACAACAGTTACCACCACAGACATTTCTGTCGAATCGGTCAGCTTACACAATTCTGACTGAAAAGGTAAAGATGAGCAACCTCTGGGCTCTATAGGTGTCAAAGTAGCTGCATCCAACAAATATACAAATGTGCTTGATACAACTGATGAATGGATTGTTAAAAGAGCTACAAGAGCCCCCAATAAAATTATCTTTAAATGAAAAAAAGGGGAAATAGCACCATATATATATCAGACACTAATTAAGAGCATGTTAAAAAAAAAAAAGAGCTGTAAAAGCCCCCAATAAAATTATCATTTAAAAAAAAGTGTTGCATCCAGACCCGCTACAGACAGAGCAGAGCTTTCCATGGAAATGTTCAGCCAGATCCTGAAACACATGGTTTTACAGACACGCTCCTTAAATCAAAACACCGTCAGTGCACTGGGTACCGAGAGCCCAAAGTCATCCAGTTCAAGTAAAAGCAGACTAGTTAAGAGCAAAAACCAGGCAGCAGTGTCTGGGAGATGCTCAAGGTGGGCTTGTTTGCCTTTCTGAGGGGGCAAAGAACGATATAGCTGCTCATTCGGAGAAAGAGCCAACATGTCAGCAAAAAATACCTGGATGAGTTTCATCAGAGTCCTCCTGGACCAGGACCAGGACCACACTCCTGCTCACTCCTCTCACCAAACACGGCTATTTGGTGAGATTTTGATGGGGCACATTAGCCTTACAAGTCTGAGTTTAGCTCCTCCTGGCTTCTTTTCGTTTCCCAATCTGAAAACACCCTTACAGGGAAGGCCGTTTTTCTCCAGTTAACATGTAGAAGACCGCATTGGCATGGTTACATTCCCAAGACCTCAGTTCTTTAGGGATGGGCGAAATGGCCAGTATTCTTACTTACAGAAGTGATTTGACCTTGATAGACCTTATGTGAGAAAATAAAGTTTACAATTTTTACCTTTTAATTCGTTTTTTCCATGAACTTTTTGAAGTCCTCTCATATATAAGATAGGATGTGTTTTAAGGAACCAACTTACACCCAGCTGTTCAACTTTCATATGCACTTTGCTAAAACTGACCCGCCTTTTCGCACCTCTCCATTTAAAACACGCACACTGCAAAAGAGAACGGCATGTCTCACACCGATGAATCCTCCTCTGCTCAGTGTCCGCCAAAAAACAAACCCGAAGCCTCGATACCATCAAGTCAATCCTAACTCACAGAGACTCTATCGGGCAAAGTACAACGATCTCTTGGGGTTTCCAAGGTGGTACATCTTTACAGGAGCAGCCTCTTTCTCCAACATGTAACCCACCAGACTTACATAAAAAACTCTCTGGAGGCAGAGACAATTTGATAACTGGTGGTATAGTGGTTATGCGTTGGTTTGCAACCTGAAAGGTCAGCAGTTTAAAACCACTGCGCCATGGGAGAAAGGCAGGGCTTTCTACTCCCGGAAAGCGTTACAGTCTTAGACCCTCACGGGGGCAGTCCTGCCCTGTCCTACAGGGCCGCTGTGAGTCGGCACCAACTCAACAGCAGTGAGTTTAACAGAGGCACCATAAGTTTCCCCTCTCCCACTTCCATCTCATTAATGAATGTATTTTCAATAAAATTACAGTACACATAACACCCGTTATGGCATAACCGTTTCTGGAAAAACTGTAATAAGGGCATTTTAACCCATTTCCATTCTATAAATTGATAGCAGACTTGGGAGCTTGGCATTTCCAGGAATGTACAACAAAAAACAGGGTTTTAGCCTCCCTCTTCTCTGACGCCAGGGGGCACCCAAAATCTCCTGCCTACAGTCATGGAGCCTGTTTGACTCAATCACTTTGTTTGGGAATTTTTTTAGGATTACTAGACTCTTAGGCAAACAGAACATCCATGTTATGAACTCTAATTCCTGTGGACCCTCGAATACATCTTCCCGTTTTCCGTGTCGAGTAGAATACATAAAAAGTGATTTTCTGACAAGCTTAAAAACCGCTGAGAACATGGCTTCAAGAAAATACAGAAAGGAAAAAAAAACAAACCACACAGAATAAGCAGGCTGTTTTCGTCACTAAGGAGCGCTGGTTGTGCAGTGGGGAAGCACCTGCCCACTAGTCAGAAAGGTCAGACTCAAGCCCCCTAGTGACTCACTCCCCTCCAGAGAGAGGGGCAGTCTGCAGTCTGGGAAGACTACAGCCTTAGACACCCCGCAGGCAGGATCACTGGGAGGCAAGTCCACTTTATAACAAGTGGGTTTGATTTTTAACAAGTTGAAGTCACTAGAAAATGCTTGCTCAGCGTTTCTTGTCTCTTACCTTTCAAATACATTCCACCAACCAAATGAAGGCAAAACAGACGCTTATTATTTATACATGTTTGATATTTTTCAGATTAAAGAAGACACATCTGTAAAAATGTCACATTCTCCTACCTCCTGGGCTTGCAGCGTTAAGTCAGAAAACATCCTTCGGTACAAGTGGCTGAAACTGCAGGGTTTAATTGCTTATGCCTGAATTTTATTAAGAATCTAAAGGCCACTTCTGTATAAAATTGTATTCTCGTTCCTATTTTCACCCCTCCTTTTCCACCTAATCTAGTCAAATTCTTCAAGTAGTTCTGAAGAAACATGACATTAGTGAGAATGAGTTGACTTCAACTCTAAATTCCTGCTGAAATCTTCAATTGGGTTCTGTTGACAGGACATAGAAATCAAGCCTTATGGTTTCTTTCCGAATTGTCTGGGTGCGTTATAGAAATATTTATGTGGCTTGGTGTAATTATGTCTAGGCAATCACTGTAATATTTACTGTCCATATTGCTCATTTATTGATGGGCAGTTTCATGCTCAAAGTGTGTGTGTGTGTGTTGTGAGTTTGTATGTGTATTATACATATCTCTTGGGAAAGGCGACCAAGGACACACAGCCTACATTCTTGTTCCTAGTTAGTATAGTAAATGTTTGATATATTTACTTTTAAAATATCAGTGGCTTTCTTTATATAGGAAATGATGACTGGCATTTGGAAATCTTAGGTCTTCTTCAACTAAGGCTTATTTCAAAGCAATTAACTTAATACACACTGTATTAAGGACCAAATGACTGTCAGTCATGTTAATAAGTTAAAGTAACATGGCTTATAATATTTATAGTATACATTTTTAACATGTTCTAATGTCTGTCTATACCAAGCCCTGTGAACACCTTTTGACATACCTTAATTTCCAGGTGAGCTGTTTCCGTTTACCCGCTGAGTTCTATGAACCTGGAGGGCATATTGGGTTCCACACTGGTCCACTAGCGGCAAGAGCAGCTTTCTGAGCCCACTAGCTGCTCTGTGGGAGATTGATAAGGTTTTCAGCTCCCATAAAGACTTACAGCATCAAAACCCCAAAGAAGCAGTTCTACTCTGTACTGTAAGTTAGCAAGATGTCAGAATCAAATTGGTGGCAGTGAGTTTTGTGTGTTTTACAATAAGCTATTAATGCATTATTCAGATTTATGCACCAACCATTAAATGTGGAAGGCAAAGAAAATTATGATTTTACTAACTTCCGTAATATGAAATCGACCAAACATGCGATCAAGATGTGACTGGAGCCATGGGCACTGTGGGTTTGGCATAGGACTGCTAACAAGGTTGACTGTTCAAACCCATCAGATGCTCTGCAGAGGAACAATGAGGCTGC